AAGAAGAGGGGACCCTCTGGTTCCCATCCAATAGCCCCTCGAAAGCCGAGGCAGACTCCTGCGCTGGGAGGGGATGGCAGGGACAGACCTGCAGCGCTTGGCACCAGAGAAAAGGTCAGCCATGCTGTGCCCATGCAGAGCTAGGAGCAGGCTTCAGAAACCAGAACGTGCCCCTCTGATAGAATCATGCCTTAGGCAACATAGCAGTCCAGATCAGGAGCTGCAAAGATAGGTCAGCATCTTCAGAGGCTTCAGATGCTGAACTGTTTCTCTAAGAGGTGTTGTACTAAATCTCATCTGTATTTACTACTCAGATAAAGTGTTCATTCATGTTGCCTTGGGTGACACTTCTGCCTATACCTCAGAAGAGCAACAAGGTCAAAGAAGAAAAACTGCTGCACCCTCCTAAACAAAAAGAAAGAAATCTTTTGACAGAGTCCAGTTGACAAAAACTTCCTATGGGCAATTAAAAAAAAGATTAAAATTAAGGATCACTAACAGTCTCCACAGAAGTAGTCTCATTGGTATGACTACCACAGGCACTACTAAGAAAAATTATATATAAAGTTTATCTTTTATTCTAGAAGAATTTTCTTCATGACTCTTAAGACAATACTTTAAAAGTCTTCAAAAATAACTCAATGCTTTTTTAAAAAAAATTGTAACCTGCTTTTCCTCCATTTGTGAGGATATGCATCACTTCCATGTGTAGAAGAAGTTCTTAATACGAACTGTTATAATGCAGGGGAAACCCAATTACAACATTGGCTGTTGTGGTTGTACGTGTTAAAGAAACTAAACCTGAAATTAGAATTCCTGTGCATTTTGAAAAAGGTAGGTTTTTATTTTGCAGGTAAAATTTTTTTATTCCCAAAATATATAATTTCATGATTTCCTTTGGAACAAATTAACCCCCCTACATGAAAGAATCCTAGTAAAATGTGGTCATTGAATCAGGCTTCAAAACATTTCTAAGCTTGAAGTCCACGGCAGGAAAATAAAACACCATTCAGTTATATTTAGAGAGCCCATTTATTTCTACAAGTTAACACTGCCCACATTTAAACTTTCAAGTAATGTGGCACAAGAGGAGTGAATACATGGAATGAAAGAGTTGTTGTTCACTGTCAGTGATCAGGAGGTTTTGCTTTGGACTAGCTCCGGTGGGATGCCACGCACCCAGCATCCATTAGCGGAGGAGTATGTTAGGTGTGCTTCTGGAGGGCATCAAGCAGTTTATTTTTATCAGAGAGAAATGCAGTTCATGTACTTTGAAGATGCTCCACAATGACACAGGCCAAACCCTGGTGAACTGGGATGGCGGGAGATAGCCTCGAAAGCAGACTTCTGACCCAAATGTAAATACTAATCAAACACATTCACTGTCAAGATAAAAATCTCTCTCCAAATGTTTGCCTGAAAAAGTTTCAAATAACACTTTAAGTTACCATAAATAGAAAACATTTAAAGAAAAAAATTGTTTCCGAACTGTTTTCTGTCTTAAATTACTGCTCTTCTACACAATCAGTTACTCCCATTTCCCTAGGTCTATGAAATACCACCATAGAAATACAAGAAAGAAAAACATGTATAAATTTAAGACATTTTACTGTACACCCTTAAAATGGTAGATATTTTGGATATGTACAACACATATACAATATACAGTCTCCCTTTACTGTAGTGGTCTGGCTACTAGTTGTGCTTTTCTCCCAATTTAGGAAGTTTAATGTTGCTCAGTTCCATAAAAGTTTTCATGAAACGTATGACTTGCTGATAGCAAACAGCTCAAAAAGTAGTGCATTCAATATTTAAGCTTTATATTCTTAACAGAGTGATAATAAACCTTAATCTTAAGGTTGAGTAGTCTTCAACTAACAATATAAAACTGAATTTCTAACCTTTAAAAAATTTCTTAATCTACAACTATTTAAAAAAAAAGGCAAAGCTTCAGCTCATATTTGAACCACATCTCAGCTCAAACATCATTCTGAAGATGAGTTTCATTTGATTTTATCAGGTTTGATGGTCTTTCTGTGTTTCTGATAAAATAAAAGCAGGAAGAAGACATTGTCAGAGCAACTGTCTCTTGATGTTTCAAAACCCTGTTAATTGGAGAGTACTTGCATGAAAAACCCACAGATTAGGTGCATATCCTACTCAAATCAACAAATCTGTTGTAGCTTGCCTTCTACCTTATTCATAAAAAGGTATTGCATTTATTGCCATGTGTATCCAGTAGTCCCACCAGTGATTATTATTCATTTATTGCCACTGACAACAGTAAAAAGCTTTAAAATACGGTTTGCCTGACTGATAACTGCAGGTCCATATGTTTCCGGATAGAAAATACTCATATAGCAATGGAGGTCGCATTCAAATGTTTTGACTCATTTGAAGATGATTACTCAGTTGTCCTATCTCCTACTCATATGTCCACACAGAAACATCAGTAAAAACAGTAATCATTTTCAGACTGGTAGAAACTTTAACATGTATGAAATAATTGCCTCCAGGCTAAAAATCTTCCTGCCCCACTGGGAGAAATATTAATTCTCAGAAGATATTCCTGTTGGCTATCGTACAACAAGTCTGGAATGAAGAAACCTTGAACTTGCCACCACAAAGGTGTGGAAACCTCTGTGCTTCTGCATCAGTGTGCTGGTGCTCCGAGTGAGCCAGAAGAAGTCAAATCGGGCTGCCAAATGGAGTGACAGGAAGAACATTAGTAAGTGAAACTCAGCAGCTTTATCTCACCCTTTCTCTGGCGAGAGCTGGGTTCTCCAGGGACAGCAATCAGGATACATTCTTCACAGTACACCTGACTGCTACTTACACATTGCTTAAACCTATTTTCAGTGACAACGCAACCAAAATCCTAGCTTGACGAACCTACGATTTGTTAAAATATGACACTGTTACAAAAGAAATAGTGAAGAGATGAGTTCCCTCGTAGCACAAGTTCTTGCTTTCTAGGTATAAACCAACCACCTTAAAAGAAAATTTTGCAACTTAGTAAAATACAGTTCTGGTAACTGACTCGCTCGGTATCCATCTCAGCTATGACTTGTTCCTCCAGTTTGTAGAATGTTAGGTAGGGGGAGAAATCTCCCTACCCTCTTCCTCAGGTTGAAATGAAACACCAAGCCAAAAGTTGTACACGGAGATCATGATTTCTGGTCTTCCTCTGATGGGACGACTTCCAAGAGGATTTGCAATGTTACAGTTACCCTGTCTGCAAAGATAAAAGCATACACATGAGAAATTTTTGTGGGGACAGAGAAGGCAGAAGCAGCCAGGAAAATCATCTCAGCTGCTATACAGCCTACTTGCACTTGTTCACAGCGGTCATATATACCAGGAGCATATACCATTTAAATGTCTTCTTCATATTTTTTGTCTTTTTAACTGTTTTCTTTGCCTCTGATCCAAGGCTATGCATATACAATAATAATGGAAGTGCATGGAGGTATAAACTTGTTCAATAAAGGTCTGCATGCATTTAAAGGCAATCTTAAAGCATGACTGCTCTGCACAACTGCTTAGCTTTAACTAACTTGCAATATTGAAATAAAAGTCTGAAAGAGCTTAAAGAAGTTAATTCAGCAGTGCCAAGATCTGCCTAAGCAAAAATAAAAAATAAAATAAAATGAAAGGAAACAACGAATACAAAGCTTTACAGGTCTAAGAATGTCACACATCCAGAGCAACTTCATGCTGTCTTTTTGTCACTCTGGACATTTATTTCCTTCTGGTGGTTTTATTTTTAGGGTACTGATTCATAAATAGCACAGTTAATTTACCTATAGAATAGTAAAAGAGCATTCTCTCACCACTCCTTTCGCTTGTCACTTTTTTTAGTAACCCATTTTAAACAAGCAGGAGTTGTGAGAGAAAGTTATGATTTTCCTTGTCTAGCACAACTTGCTGGCATTTACACCCGTGTAAAGCGAGGGTAAAAGAGTGCAACTCACAGAAGATATGAACCGAAACTACTTTCCTGCTCTCCTGTCTAAGGCAGACTCTACCATCTTTTGGTCTTCTCTGGAGGTCATCAGTTCAGTGCGAAGCCAGGTTGCACTTAGACTGTAAACTGATGGGGTCAGAGAAGCTGAGGGTCAACAGGGACTGCATTTTCCTCCTGTCTCCCTCCCCTACCCGCAGCGGGGACTTCAGTGCTGGGCTGAGCACAGCCGGGGTGAAGGGCAGGAGGAAAGCCAGCAGCAGGAAGCCAGCAGGGCTTTGCCCCTGCCATCCTGTCCCTGCCAGGTTTGAGGCTGAGCAAAGGAAGAAGAAATAAAACAGTCTTTCTGTCAAGCTGAGCTATGGTGTAATAGCTCTTGGAAAAGGGCACGGCAGCAGACGGAAAGCCCGGGCATCTCATGAGCCAGCTGTGATTTTAACGTCCTGTTCGACAAACTGGGCAGAGCGACCCGCAGCCAGACCTTGCACTCGCTGTGGTGGGCGGTGGCTGCCAGGGGGGGGGGGAGGCTTGAGATGCTTGCTTGGTGTTTTCGGTTGCAATATACTCCAGACAAGACTGTGTAAGGAGTATTTTCCCCAAAAAATCTTCCAGTCTGTCTCCAGTCAGTATCTCTATATTGTCCGCTTTGAGCAGTACCCAGAGTTACAGGACTAGCTTCACATTTGTAACAAGACAGCTTAACACATCATGACAGTAAAGACAACTTCCTCCCACACGCACATTTTAAACCATAATTTTCACTTTCAAGAGGAGAATTCACTGTAAATAGATCCCAGGGGGCAATCTTATGAAAAACACAGAGCTGGTATTTATATAAGCACCCCGTAAAGATTGTGTGAGGAAAGAAAGCAGGAATTTACTGCATATATATAAAACTGGACATGAAATCTGCAACAGCAAAAGTCTGAGATGATTTCCTGCAGATCCCAACATCACAAACTCGATGAAAAGAAGCAAACTGAGCATAGAAGGCTATGTCCTGAGCGAGCAAGTGTCATCCGCTGGTGCTTGTAAATAACCCTGAAAGAGACATTTTGTTATATAAACAGATCTCTTTTCCAGCATGGACTCAGGCTATGAAGAAAGCAGGATTCAACTTTTCAGCTACTTGCAATTCTATGCACCATAAAGAAATAGATGCTTTAAATATGAGTCTAAGATTGGGTTTTCAGCTGAGGAAGCCCAAACGGAAGTGCTCTGGTGCTGGTGACGCCTGCTTTTACACACTGATCTGCTTTGTAGGATTTGTAGGATTTTCTAGGCTTGACTCTTTTCATTTTCACATTAGTACTACGAAAAGCAAGAAAGCAGAGGTCAAATGAAGCCTGTTCTAGCTGAAAATTATTTGTCCCAGCACATCTGGTGCTACAGCAAAATTTCTGTGGATGAGGAGAGAACAAAATGTTATTCTCACTGCAAAATACCACCCAGACCCTATTAACCCCACAACTGTGAAGTTACTTTTTGTTCAATACAGCAATTTGGTAAGGAAAATGGGTAATGTAAATGCCATTAGGGACAGTCAAAACGAACAGAACAAAGACATTCAGCCTTGGAGAGGATTTTTTAGGTAATCCATTCAAGGACTCTGCTACTGTAATCAGACTGAAACCCCTTTCGTAAACGTACTCATCTTCAGGCTGGGTCTTATATCCGACTACTCATTCTAGCTGCTCAACATCCCTCTCTGATCCTTACTAAACCTATTCTGCATATCCAGTCGAGTCTTATGCAGGGCTGGTCTGTATCCATGTGATTTTGCCCCAGTGCTGTCCTTTACCTAAATAGCACATGTTCCACATAGGTTTTATGAGGAGCAGTCATCTCTCATCACCAAAGCACGTCTGGGGAGCTGCACAAGACCAGTTCCCCAACACGATGCCTTTGCAGAGGGGTCAAGAGAGCCCCTCAACATGCTGCTCATGCGCTGAGCTGCGCAGATGAAGCAGCCTGGGAATAGTCTTGTTAGCACGGTGCTGCGTTCGGACTAACCGGCTTTGATTCCCCCTGGGTTACTACACAAAATACTTTGCTGAAGTCTAAGTAGATTGGATCTATCACTCTCCTTCGCCTAGAAAAATCTGTTATCTTCTCAAAAAAAGTTGCCCAGTTAATCTGGAAAAAATCTACCTCTTTAATGACAATCACATTTTTTCATGTTGTTAATTTACTTCATGTCTGGAATTACTCTTTCATGCCTATGTACACCTAATGCATATTGTTTCAAGGTTAGAATATCAAGCTTGCAGCTGCCAAATGACTTGACTTTTCTGTATCTCACAGAGGTACCTTAAGTGAATTTATCCTCATTCAATGCCTTTGAAAAATGCTCTCAGGCTGTACACTGGAGCTCCCTTAACACTCACAGAATAATGCCACCTTAATGACTCCACACAGAAGGTTTGTTGCTGCTTCTGAAGGAAAAAAAAACAAACATCTTTTTATTTAACAAGTAAATCTCCACTCTGCTCCACCCCAAAACTGTCAGCATCAGTTTTCTGTCATTACTGTTGTTCTTTTGGGAATAATAATTACAAAGCAAACTGTTTCACCCACTGACTGGTGTCCACTGCTTTCCCCTCTGAGCCAGTACACCGTGTCCATCCGTAGGTATTACACAGGCACCAGGCCTTCTTTCTAGGAGGAGAATTTTGTGTTATCTGAAAAGCTAGAAGATTCACCTTCATTGTCACAGCTGGCAGGAAAAGCTTCACATCTACCCAGTCTACCTTAAAGAGAATATTTTTTCTCTCACCCAAGTAATGTAGTTCAACACTGGCATCCTGTGGCCAGAGATTCAAGTAACTGTATTTCAAAACCTCTGAGACTCCACAGAAAATGCCAAAAATATCCTGGATTTGATAAGGGAAAATATCCTAGTCCCTATATGTCAAGCCTGAGAAATTACAAACAGACAAAAACCCAACATTTTAATAGAATGTCCTTTTGTATACAACTGTTTTCACTTGCACTGGAGCTTTCTACCCATTCCGAGGACATTGCAAGTAATATATAGCTTTATGGATATAAAATTAAGACGACCAGACTGTGCTAGCCCTAAGCTAACATCTTTTTCTGTTAGTAGTTCCCAGCATGAATTGAGAGGGAAATTCACAGACCCTATAACAGATAGGATAAACCTATAACCTAGATTTAGATAGAGAAAATACATATAAAAGGTTACAGGACAAGAACATTCATATAAAAAACCTATTCTTTTATTGTGAGCAGCTCATTTTAAATCATCCCTTAAGGCTGAGGCACGGAAGACAGTATGTATTTTTATTTAGTACCTATACTGATAAAACATTTTTAGCTGAAAACTTTAATGGGTTGAGTTTTTCTTTTGCAGCAGAAGAGATTTAATTTAGTTTTGCTTAATAAATTATCCTTCATTGCTCACATGTTTTGCCTATATTCTTGTTTCATGTTTTGAAATGGCCTCCAGTTTGGAAACCTCCTATCATGCTCAGTAACAAAAAAAGAGAAGAGTGGGGAGCTGTAGTATATGATATTGACTTCTTACCAACTGAAATACTCCAAATAACCCTTCTACAACATGTCATAACTTCCACAAATGCTTTCAAAAAATTTCAGAAATGGTATAAAAATGATTCTCAGTGTATTTGAGGTGTGAAATACTACAGCCAAGCCACTCAGAAGTTGTTTCTCATGAAGCACAGAAACAATTTCCACAGAGGTGTGTCAGGCACGGTATGTTTTGCTATCATTTTGTTGGGAGCCACCACTAAGGACAATCTCCCCATGCCAAGCCCAACGGACCCTGTCCCATTCCAAATACTCCACAGACACGTGGTCTCAGCAGGGAGCACTGAGCTCATCCTGTCATCACAACTATGATGTTTAAGTTCCCAAACCGGTTGTCCTAGGAGTGAAATTCTTTGTCTATTAGCATAGGCCAACAGCCAGGGGAGGGAGATGGGGGATTTAAAAGGAATCAATGTTTGTAGGGGAGGGAGGGGAGAAGGAGGCAGGGGGAGAGGCATCTAGTCATTTGAAGTCAGTCACTAGCAGAAGAATAGGCTTGCTGTAAACGTATCTCGTTAGTTAACGGACATTGATTGTAGCCAGCAAAGCAATGCTAGAGCATGCACTGAAAAGAAACTTGCATTGTCATCCCCAGCTGAGAGCAGCCGAGAGGATCGATTGGAAGGGTTTCGCAACATGGGGAGCCCTGAGAAATTCCCAGAGTCAGCACAGTGGAGAGGATTCCCACCAGGACTTACACAGGAGCTTTCTGAACCACTTTGGCTTCTTGTCCCATACAATAAAGAGGTAGTAGGCAGGAACTCCAGTCAGGGTTATTGCAAATCCAATCCCTGTATTCACTGGATCAGAGTAAAGTGACAGTGCAACCATGAAGAGGCAGGTGAAGGAAAACAACGCTGGAATAAATAGAGGCACCTGAAATGTAACCACACAAAGAACCATTACTTTACATCAACCTTGTTGTTGAATGACTATTGCATTTAATGTTTCATGAAACGTATATTGGATATAACCCAGCAGTACAGGATAGCTCTGGAGAAATACAGGTGTCTACAACATGTGCATGAAATGTCAGTGACTGCAGAAACCAAGCTACGCAGAGTGCTGTGCAATAAGTACCGTGGAAGTATCTTAATTACACACTAAAACACTACAGTTCTTTATGTCCCTTAAAATGTAAGGGCTGTAAATAAGTTACACTGCAAAAGTCCTTCCTCTAATCCTCAGTAAGCAACACTAACGGCAGTAAAGATTTCCTCTTTGATAATTACCTATTAGAAAACATTTTAAAACACAACCAGGAGCTCAAGTCACCTTTTAAAACTATTAAGAACATATTGATTTCCTTCCTAAGGTAAAAATCAAAATCTGGCAGGAAGAGAGCAAATTAAACACCAATTTGACTAGTGAAAAAGATATTTGATAGCATTATGCAACAGATAGGTACTGAAAAAGAACTTTCTGACTGTACGACTGATAGCAATATCAGTGTCACTGTTGAAAGTACAAAAAAAATAACAATATCCAATGAAGTCTCCATTTCCAAGAGCAAAACTACAGTCAGTATGTTAGCACCTCTCCGAATGAAACACCTACAGGCACAGCTTGAGATGCTCAGTGTAATGGAGAATCGGAGAATTCCTTGGAGATTATTCTCTTCCTTTCATGCCTTGAAGCATTACTGTTCCTCTTTTGTGCACTGTCAGAGCAATTTTTTTTAATCAAAGCAAAATAGGTTGTGCTGCTGACCTTCTTATTTACAGATATACCTACAAGAATGCAACAGCGCACATTCTTAGTTCTTCACAAAATAGGCTTCTTGGCAATACACAAATAGGGATATATTCCTCCATTTTTTTCATGATGGATGTTATCTTTCTGTATACTCAATGGCACAACTTACTTTGTAATGTTACTTAAACTAAGCAAGAAGAGTGGCAGAACTAAGGCCAAACCAGCTACTGTTCAATGGGCCAGATTATTAGCATTTTCTTTCTGCTTTCACAATAACTGCGCCTGCAAATCCACTGCAAGACCCAAATATTATAATAATAGCACTAACAACTTATTTGCACACCAAATTGGCACATTTGATATTGGATAGGCAAAGAAATAAATGTTTCATATTAATGCTTACACTTGACATGAACTCCGGTGACAAAATTATTCAGGCCTTTATCAAAGAAGACATTAAACAGAGGACTGGCTGTATATTTGCAGTATGAAGCCTACGTAACTACACAGGACTAGAGATATTTTCACACAGCTTGCATCATGCTGCCTCAACGTGACTGACAGACAAAACTGAGCAAACACCTTCACTTTGGCACAGCAGCTTCCGTCGCTGCCCCCCAGGCACCAGGAACAGGCAAGAATTATCTTTCAGAAGGGGCTGCAGCTTGGGGTAGCGCTGGGGAGCTTGCAGGAAAGCACTCGGAGACCCTACAATGCAAAAAAACTCTTTTCTGTTAACTCTGTGTTTCTTGAAAAAGAGGTTAGCTTTCTACATCAGAAAATGCTCCTTTACCGTCTTACTACACAATAGATAGGAGGCAGAAGGATTCATGTAAAACAGCAGAGAGCAGAGGTTACCTTGAAAGGACGAGGCATATCAGGACGTTTATATCGGAGATAAATCAACCCAGCAACTACTAGTCCAATAAAAAGCCACCTGGCAAAACTGAGGAAATTCAGAAGGCTGTAGAGATCCCCGTTGAATAACATTATCATTGTGAGAGGATGCTGCAAAAGAAATTCAGAGCATAAGAGGGGTTTAGTGAAGTGATCTCTAGTATTTTACAGCAATGATGTCAAATTTTTCCATGGGGACAAGCAACGCAACCTTTCATGGAGGCACCTGAGGGCCACAGAATTCAGGCCTGCCTTTGTCATGCAGTCAGGTGTGTGATCAATGCTTAGCTGTCCCCTGAGATCACGTTCCATCAATATACATCTGTCCCGGGTGGCCACACATGATCAATACGTATCTGTCCTCTGTGACCCAGACAAATACACAGGCACACAGCCTGCTGCATCACCAAAATCCTTCAGCATCCTGGGCACCATTCTCATGGGACCTGACAAATATATCAGCCCACTGCAGTTTTACTCACTCATCACCGATGCAAATGATAAAAGCAATTAAATTCCGGTCACATCTGATCATATGAAAGCAAATGTTTCTAGGTGTTTTGTGGAAAGAACAAGTCTTATAGTCCCCCAGGCTGCAACAGGCGAACTCAGCAGAGAGGGCATGGTAAGGGATAGCTGCACACCATGGGATGCCAGCTGGGCACACCGGGTTGCCACCAGCTTGCATTTGCAGTATGCCTTTCAGGCTTGCAGGGTGTAGACTTACCGCACATCAGAAATGCAAACATTTCTAAGCAGAGCGAAGCATTTAGCTGTCACTCAGGTGGCTACTGAACAGCAAGGAGGAGGGCGGACACTAGCGTAAATACACTTCCTCATTAAAAAGCTGTTCTCAGATACAAGGCAAAGGCAAAAGCTTATGTATCAACTAGAGTGTTGCACCTTGGGTTAGATGATTAGGGTAGGCTACAGGGATCTATTTCAGGGCAGCCTCTGAACAAAAGCAGAATATTTGTAGCTTGGATCAATAAGCTACAGTTGTATGTAATACAACAATAAGCCTACAGTTGTATGTGCACATACAGATCTGCAGCATAGCCCGTGCTTCCCGCGTGAGACACCCTGTGCCTGCGATGACACAGGCCTTGCATTTGGGGATGAAGGAATGAGCCAGCTCCACTGTAGCCCTTACTGTTCAGCGAGAGGGGGATCCTGGCAGCGACAGCCTCTCTGGGTTTATAACGAGGCAACAGGTGAAATCAACCACACATGCAGTAAAACACTGGGCTAAATCTTCATGTGAGGAAAACTAACTTGTATTGGTTATCTAGACTCACAGCCTCTCATTTTTTTTTTTATTTCAAGCAGTGAAGACAGCATGGATTTGAACCAGAAGGATGAATATTTCAAATATGGGTCTCTGGTTCCAACCTCTAATGACTTACAAAGTGCTTGGTTCTTTACACACAGATATTAAGCGAACTCCCTCTCTGTAAAGGCCAAAGGAAATTCTACCACTGAATTATACTGGGCAGGAATTCTTCTATATAGACTCAGTCCTTAACAATTTAAAATCTCAGGTATAAGCATGATAATGCAAGAAAGGGCCACAGACACTGAAGGACAGCTATCAAGCAAAAAAAAAAAAGTAGGGTTACAATCAGATTGCATGATTTCTTGGAGTTCTTACGCACACAGCTTTCAAACACCAGGACACACATACATAAACAGATTTCTTAATTCCTAAAACCACTTTTTTATTTAACAAGCCTCAAACACTGGACATGCTCATTTTCTCTGTTTCGCCTCAGGAGCGTTTTCCCTTCTTACAGTGAGTAGACCTTGGCAGGAAAAATACAACAGGAAAATGCTAAAATGCAGACTGTTGATGCAGAATATACCCTGCAACTACTCTAGTTGCAATAAGGTAAGAAAAAAGATACAATCTCTGAAGGAAAGCCATCTCCATATGAGAATCTGACTTTTTCAAAGGAAATCAATGCTGGTGTAACAGGACCAGATGCAACAACAGAAAACATATTTCAGAAAAAAAAATATGGGAGTACATTATGTGCATTTCATTCCACAGAAAAAAATCAATGCAATTTACCTGAAAGGTATGAATACTTCAGTCCAGAAAAACAAAATGCAAAGGAAACATTTATGTAAAACGAATTCCATTAAAACTTTTCAACATCATCACATTGACTAATTTCCAAAATTTGGATGCCTACAGTTGTATGTGCACATATAGAATTCAACAATTCAGCTGGCACTTCAGAAGTCAGCTTACAGTCATCTATAGCAAAAATTGATTTAAATTCCAGTACAAGCATCTGATCTTACTAGCACACACTCATAGCCGCACACACGTCGTCTGCTGTGGCAAGAACTCCCCACAGATGCAAAGGTCTGTCCAGATAGATTACAGTCAGTGGTCTCAAAAGAGGGGCTGAACACCCACGGTTACAAAGACTGCAAGTTAAGTGGAAATCTTCTGGGCACTATGCAAACTGAGTTTTGAGGTCAGTATTTTGACATTTTGTCCTAACATTTTACCATACAAATTAGTCTGCAATGTAAACACATGGTCAACATTTAGCTCTGCCACTATTTTAGAAGTCAGTAACAGGATTTCTACTATAGTACTGGTGGTTTTTTCCTCAGACAATTCACAGACTATTGCCCAGGCACACATTCTCTCATTTTTTAATCACCACTACACTGCACTGCTGAGGGTTCCTCTTCCATTATCTTAGTGCATAATTGTTGGCATTTTTCACTAGAAGGTGGTATAATGAGCCTTTAGGGTGCTCCCAGACGCTGGTGTTTAGCTGTACTTTCAGTTAAATGAATCCCTTTTTTGTTTGTTTGTTTAACTGGAATTTGTTTCTCTGAAAGGGAACTAGCTCATCACTAGATGATTCTTAGAAATAAAGGGCAAGAAGACATGAATTAGGCTGCACTGATAGGCAGTCAAGTGCTACTGACAAGATAGCAAGGAGATGATAGAATAAGAACAACTCCCAAATCTCATTCCTCTCTTTACTGTCCTTTGCCCTGCCCAAAGCCCACATACACATTAATAAATGAGACTCAAGCAGTGCCCAAATTCTGTTCAAATCCTCCAGAGCAAGCCTGTAATAGGAATTCTTGTGCAGGAACATTTGTTTGTATGATTTACCAAAACAATGACAGCTGGCAGAGGAGTGTGCTTGCGGACATGAATCATGGAGAGAATTTCCGGAAGGTGACCCTCGCGGGATGCAACGAAGAACATCCTGGTGGGAAACAAATGTGGACAGACTTTAAATGTGCTCATTACTGTGACTAGGCAAAGTAGCTCATGAAAGTCACAGAGCACAGCAGCACTTCTTAGGCTTGTTTGAGGTATTCTGAATGAAAAGACTAGCAGAAGCAGCCCATACACAGAATCAAAGTCATCTCTGAAGGTGTCCCCTCCTTACCTTACACTCTGATCAGTGTTTGGAATTAGTTAATATTTTCCCTCCAATTTCCCTCCTTCACATGAAACAAAGCAGCCATTAAGTGCTATGCTCAGAGGGACCCATTTCCAAACCATTCAAAGGGTTTTAACAGTAAGTTACTAAACTCAACAGGAACAAAGTGAGAAAAAGCCCCATACCTGGTAAATATTATACTCATTTTTTATTTGCTGCTAAAGGAATGAATCCTACTCTCCCTTCCTCTTGCTTCCTCACTTTCAGTGTATTTCCCACCCCCTTCACTGCCAGTAATATTAGCAACGCTCACCTGGAGACTGCAAAAACGCCGCCATTCATAGACCCAAAGCAGGAGAGAGCAACAAGTACTGGTACAGCTAAAGAAAAGTTTCCCATTAGTCGTTCCGCAAAGGTCTGTTAGAGGAGAGAGAAATACATAGTGATTTTTCAAAAAACATGAAACTAACTTTACTCTAATAACAAATTACGAATAACTATGGTAAGTTTTATCTATGCCCCTTTCTCTGCATCCTTTACTGAAAGTTGTTCTGTGCATTTGTTACCTCTCATCCTGTGACACCAAGGCTACTGCAGATGAGGTCTCCCAACTTACTCCCAACTGTGCATGGAAGCTCGCCAATTGAGGCAGTGCTGTAGAGGTGGAATCAGGCCCTGGTTTATGTCATTTTAGACCATTATGACTCCATAAAAGAAGACCCAGTCTGCATGGATCAAAGTCTGATCTGCATACCTAATACTTTTTTTTTTTTTTACAGCCTTCATCTTACTTAGCTGATGCTACCCATTCGTATAGTCCATTCATTCACACTTTATTGTTCTAGGTTACCAGAAGAGCCTTAATTGGAGTTTTGGGCACCACAGGAGACATGTACAATTTTCTTTGGGTTTGCAAAATGTTTTGTTTGTAAATCTTCCATGAGCTACAGAATTTGGTCATTTTTCAAATGCCACATAAATTGAGATAGCCACAGGCCATGTCACTACTGGAAAGTAAACGAAAATTTGTATTTTCTCATCACGAGTCAGATACCATAAATATAAAAATCAGCATCATCACCACAATACAGCAAGAACAATCAAAGCAGTATTTCCAAAACAGGTTGCCCTGCAAATCCTTCCCAAATGAACTCCAGTATTGACAGCAACCCCCTTCGTAAGTAACTAGGGACTCACGTTGTGCAGAGACAGCGTTACCACTTCTTGCTACCAAAAAAAAAATAGTTCAGAGCTCTCACTTCCACATATATCTGTGTTTTCTGCTTCCCAGGAGTCTGGCCTACAATTTAGCACAGAATTTTTCAAGCAGATACTTGGCTATAAAGTTTAAGTCCTATTGACTTTGTTATATCAGGTAAATAAATACAGTCTAACACGACATTACAAATGCTATCGATGGCCTTAAATGCAATCCCACTCATCAGTCAAAAATCAGACTAAGTTCACTGGGATGCTAATATGTGGTGTAATAGAGGAGCCATAGAAAAGTCCGACTGGATGCATCCCTCCAATTTTTCCCCCTGGAAATAAGAATGTATCAACAAACACAACTGCAGCAGGGATATAGCTTTGTATTTTTCTTCTGTAACTTACCACTGCTACAGCTTTTGAAAGCAGCAATTCCCCAGCACTGATTGTAGTGAAATAAGCCACGTTTGTTAACACATAGCCAACTGTGACGATAATCATTGAAATGCATATTGCGAGGGGTATGTTTCTGAAATACACAAGGTAGCTCATTATTTTGCAATCTGGTTGCTATTCCCTGAACATGAAACAAATAACATGAGAAGCAGCCACTAATGAAGGTGAACACACATTTAGTGATCCCAAAATATCATAATTAGAAATTACCAGTAAAAAAGTAACATATCATCTAAACAAAACCATCTACAGAAAGAAAATAGATTTATAATGAAGAGGTTGGAAACCATTTGAGGGACGAGTCTCTTGGGGATGCCAAGAGATTGTGGTCCCCATGCTTCCCATGCAAGAAATATGGCCCATTGGATCTGCCTACCCATATTGACTTTCAAGCTGAGCCCAATTGGAAGGCAGCAACTATCAGTGCTTGGACCAGCAACAAGGCAGATGACAGATGCAGGTGATTCAGCTCTCTAACAGGAGAGCAATCACAGTGGCATCTCCAATATACCTCCTGGCACTCAATGACTGCCCAACTGGAGGTGGTTAGACTTCTTTCCCTGGGTGCCAAAAGGTCTAGGATGTGAGATTCTGCCCTCTCCTCCTCTGCGCAGTTCTTCCCTCGCACACCTTACCATATGCCAATTATCTCTCTCACTATTCAGGGATACATGAGGGCAGAATATGACATAGAAATAGGAACAGTATGAATTTGTACTGTTAGTATAGCACAAATAGTACTGCACAGTACAAAACCCCTGACATCTTAGATAAAAGACCGAATAATAACACACAAATAAATAATAATGCTGAACTTTTATACAGCATGTCCTCCCAGTCAGCAAAGCAGAAAAGCAGAATTATCTCTGTTTTAAAGATGAGGAACGGAGGCACAGTGAATTAATCCAAAACCACACTGCAGGCAAATGTTTCAGTTAGGAACAAAATGCAGACACTTCAAGCGTTACTCTAGCCTCTTTCCACTCGATGTCATTGCTTGACGTTATTGATATCTGCATCACACCAAGAAGAGATTCAGATCTGAAACCAATGTTTGGTCCTTTAATTCCAAGTTTGAAAGCTGCAGTTGGAAAGACACAGTATGTGCTTTTCCTCTGAGAGGATCTGAGAGCTCCTGCTTCATGGCTGGTTCCCTCCAGCTGATAATATTAAGATTGCTTTTGAAGACATGCAAAGGTTTACACTTTTAGAGAACTTTGTTGTGAAGGTCACCCCATCAGGTGGGAGAAAGGAGAGACAGAATGAGGGATTCTGGGGTCCCAGAAGAGACCACAAGCACAGTCTTGAAGGACTATTGCAATCACCTCTAAGGAAAAGGTGTTTTGAAAATCAACACAAAGATTCATTATTTTCTGGGTTTTTTTCCAAAAGAAACACATCTGGGTCAGAACTACCAGCTCTTCTTTCTCAAAGAAATCCTTCAAATCACTATGCTTGTATAGAGCTGAAAATAAGCTCTGAACTGAGACTAAATAAATAAACAAAGTGAGGTGGTATCGCTGTTGCACATATTGCCCGTCACAGAAACCACGGTGTCAAATGGTGCCATTAACCCAGACACACAGGTAGGTAAGAGGATCATGCTGCATTGCCAGCACCAAACATGGGTAGACACGATGCTACTGCATTCACCCACTGCTACCTCACCCGCACTGCCTCAGGTGAAGAAGCTTGCAGGACGCACATGTTGATGGAGAAGACAACAGCAAGGACTAGATCAAACAGCACTGAATGCAAGTGCAGTATTGCCGGAAAACCACAAAATTACTGACTCAAGAAATACCACAGAACTGCATGTTGATAATATGCTCATGCAAGAAACGTTTTTGTAGGTCAGCTGCCAAATATTTTGCATCCAGTTTGGTAAACCTTCTTACCTGACCTGGCTGTAAACTGAATTCCATCGACTCAGCATCTGATTTGAAGTAGGGATACCTGGTTTCAGAGCTTCTCAGAACAGAGATTTTAAATAGATCTTCTGTATCATGGATGAATGTTTCACCCACTAAGCTACTGGATAAACCAGAACTTACCCCAACCTTCAAAAAATGTTTCCAGCCAAAGATAGCAAATCTGTACTATTTTCACAAATACCATTTGAATGACTGAAATCACATTATTAAACTACCTTTGTCCTTTCTAACTCTTACCAAACACTTGCTTGCTGTATTTGCTCCAAATTTAAATCCCAGTCTAATTTGTGGCAGTTCAAAACCAAGAGGAGAAAAAAAATCACGCTTCCAAACATGACCATTTTCTTAGCACTGTGGGTCCTGTCTTGTTATGCTGAAGAGCACTACCCCCCTTGGATAGTAATACCACCAACAATAAAAAAGAACCCTCTCAGGAAAAGAATAAAACCCAAAAAATGAGCCAGAACTAGTCAGCAAGCACCATTCATTAACAAACCTGCAGACAGTAACTCATGGCTGAAGCAGTGTAAGGGATGCTGTGACTCCTGAGCTGCTGCGTCCTCGTCTTCCGAGAGAAGCAAGCGCTCAAGTTGCACCTCCTTTTGTTTCTCGGCAGGAGCAGGCCTTCAGAGGGCTGCCGTACTTTCACATGCAGCCCCTCCGAGTGCTGCTTATTAGGCACAGATTTTGTTGACAGGTTTAGATGAAAATGAAAGGCCAGTTTCAAGATTTTGGGGATGAGTAATACAGTACGTCTCATTTCTCACTGAAACTTCGGTTCACATTTACACTTGGTCCTCAAATCATCTGAAAGCACAGACAGACAGGTATGAACCATATGTAAAATCACTAAGTGGGAGCTTTAATCATGTCTCTTCTATCCATCCAATTTAAGAGGCAGTTCCCAATTTGCAACAGCATCCCATTATCAAACTCTCTGCTATGAGCTACAGTCACTGCACTGGAATAAAAACTGTAATGCCATTAACGTTAAAGATTACCTCCTTTCCTTGGAGGATCACTGTACTAATTTTCTTGTATTTTAGAGATTCTCCTAGACTTGCAAATCTTCTCTCCAAGTCAGGAAAAATCATACCTAAGTTCTATTGTCTGTTAAATTGCCTTTATCAATGCAGATTTCACCTTTTCACTTCTGCATCCTATGAATCAAACACAACATAAGGTGTGAGCACACTGATCGGCCATGTTTCTGGTCTAACGCAAATTCACAACTGCCATATGGCTAGCTGAGAGTTTTGGACTAAAGGCAGTCAGAAATTTCAAGAAAATGATAGTTTTCACTTTAAGACTTTGATTCATTGAAACCAAAAATTTTTATGGGAAACTTGACCATTTCAGTATGACATTTCCTAGGAAAAAATTGTAGAACCAAGGCAAATCTCACCCAACTGGTAAAGACCTCAGAATGGTCAATGGCTTAAAAACCATAGCATTGTGTGTGCTTGTACACAGGAGACTGCAATATTTTATTTACTTAAAGCAGGCCCAGGACTTGCGGCTACAGGTTTCTGTAGGGCAGTGCTTTCTTTTCGCATTTCATCTCAGAGTAAAATCTCAACAGACTTCAGAATCACAAAAAATTCTTTTCAAATCAGCAGCTTTTCTGAGTAGACCTTGAGCTGTTGACAGTAGCCCCAAACCTATACAACGATTTGTGTCTCATTTATTACTGTGAAGACGATATTCAAGCAGGCTACTCCTCGGGTAGAAGGGGAAGATGCTGCCAGGAAAGTCTTTTGGAATATTCATCTCTTCTCACAGAACTTTGAAGAAATCAGTATCAAAAGGAGAAAAAAAAAATCAGAGGGAGCCCTAATCAAGAAAATATTAACAATACAATTAAAGACTTTATCAGATGAGAGACAACTAGAGTAGCTTCTAAGCATCTGAATATTGATTAAAATTTAATTGAATTCCCACACATTTTAAGATTTACCCATCCCTAGCTACTGTTCAAAGAAAAATCTTCCCCTTCTGCCCTATACACAAAGAAATTGTAATGAAGCATCATGACAGCTTAAACGAAGATCACATCTACCTTGCAATTCCCAGAAGAAGAGTCACTGAGGAGTCCACCATTACAGAGAAATTCAGCATTAAGAATACAGCTAGACCAACCTGTGGCTATACAAGGCTGAAATGCATTGCCAAGCTATGCTGTATGCGGCTTGGAAGAAAATTTCCTCCTTCCACAGCCTATAAAGGGCCCTGGAGCTAGGGCACAGTGTTCAGTTAATCAGGATATCCACTGGGTTTTGGATTTGACCTTCAGTGTTGCAGAATCATAGATCTTCTGATAATCTGCTCTGGTACTGCTCTACCTCCTACAAATATTTTTGAGAGAAAAAACACAGAGCAGGCCAAGTAAGAGAGGGGAAGAAAAAGAAAAAAAGGGAAAAAGATAAAGAAAGCCAGAGTGAGAACCTGGGGATAAGAACAATAATGTCAATAAATCAGCCAAGGAACATTCCCAGAAGCCTACAGCTCATATCCCAGCTTAATGATAACTTCTATAAAAACAAACAGTGAGTGCTAAGAGCTGTGACCACATGTGGGCCGTTCTTTCTATGAAATGACAAGCACGCTGTCAAATATGCCCCACTGAGTCAGCTGAGTTCACAAACACGAAACACGTTGTTGCTGCATCCTTTGTTGTTTAGAAGCCATACCAAAATCATTTCCTCGTGTCCATTTCAGACCCAGGTTTTATAAATGTTCAGCCTGAGTGCACTGTTCTGGAAGAAGCTGTGCCAGTGGGACCCAGCCAGGAAACATAAATAAGAAGGTCTAAAAATATCAATTAATTACTGGTAAAGTTAGGTGAGATAAACTATATCTTTACTGTGCTATGGATACTGTGAAAGGCACTTTAAACTAAAAAAAAAAAAAAAAAAAAAGGGGAGGGGAAAAGTCCTAATTCCTTCACGTGGTTTCCAGGCAAGGATTTGCTATGCTATATTTCTTCAGCTGAAAATTCTCCACCACAGGAGTTTCAAGATTCTTTTCAAAAGTTCCCTTGTGCAATAATTTGCAATCTGTTCAGCAATTTTCCAAATGAGCTGTTTCCAGATTTTGGCACTCTTAAAAAAAATCTAATTATCCATTACACTGCCCATAG